ACCTCCCACGGTGCTGGCCTGGTCAGTGGGAGGGAGGCAGATTTGGGGTCCCCCGCCCCCAACAGCTGGGATTCCCCCTGGGTGAGGCTTGTTGGGCTGGGCTCTGGCCCTGCTTCAGCGGCCCCGCTTAGCACCCCCTGCCCCTCCCCGTTCCCTCCTCCTGCCCCCCCTGCTGATCTGCCACGCCACGGGCCTCACCCTCTACTTCCTGCCCGTGCTGAGCCAGCACGTGGCCACCCAGCACTTCCCCGTCTCCGAGGCAGAGGCCGTGGTTGGCGCTGCCGCACAACACACACAGGTACGTGCCACCCGGGCGGCAGGACTAGATCTATCCCCTGGGGGCCGGAGCCCAGTAAGTCAGTGGGCAGCTCTGGAGCCCTCTCTCCCAGCAGGGGGCGCTGTGGGGGGCCAGACAGGGGGCTGGCATAGAGGAACCTCTGGCCCCTGCCTCTCCCAGCAGGAGGTGTTGTGGGGGGCGGGGCAGTTCCAGCCCCTGCCTCTCCCAGCAGGAGGCGCTCTGACAATCCCCACGGTACAATCTGGACGGCTGAAGAAGCTGTGTCCCTCAGTTCCCCAGCCTGGGGCACCTTTGACACCGGAGAACCCCACTCCTGGTCTGCCTGCACGTGGCTCCAGCATGTAACAATCCCTCGTGAATTGTCTAACAGAGCGACCCCAGCAATTCCCAGTCCCCGACTTCCCCTGCATACGTGGGTCTTGCATTGCCCAGCCCTTTCCTGCAGGACAACACGAGCCCACAGAAAGGCCGGCGTGGCATTAATGGAATATGCTGCGCACAAGCCTTGTTATCGCAAATGGCATTCCCCGAACACCGGGCCAGACGCGCTGGGTTAGAGAAAACAGTAACACACAGGAATTCGCTGCAGGAAGGGGTCAGGTCATTACGAGGAAGGAAGGGTGAAAACCACAAGCGGTCACAAAGAACTAAGAGGCTGACTGAGCCGGAGGATTCTTCGGCACATGGGCTGGCCGTCTGGCTGGCGAAGTCCACACCTGCTGCCTTGGCTTCCACGTGCTGCTGCTGGGAGGAGAGAGGGCCTGGGAGTTTGCTCCCTTTATGGCAGTTCTCTTTGAAAACCATCTGCAGCTGGCGTTCAGGTGGCAGAGTCTGCAGGGCAGGAGCTTTCAGCTGTGTCTGCCCCAGTGTACGTTTCCTGCTGCACCTTTTCCCTGACACAGCGTGGTGCTCAGCCAGGCCACAGCCCAGTTGATGTCTTGAGGCAACACTTGGCCTGTCTTGGAGGAACTGGGTTGTGCTCTTTTAAATCGAGTGTGTTTCAGCAATGTCATACCAAGGACTTTTATAATGGACTTCTTACAAGTGGCTGTCTAGGAAGGAGTACCGCAGAAAGCAAGCCGACGGTCACAGTGGATCACAAAATACAGGAAACCCCCCGCTTGTGACCGCCCGAGTTCCAACCCCCCGCTCTTACAACCATTTTTGTAAGTGTGAAAGGGGCCAAAAACCCCCGACTTACGTCCTCGGTCCCGCATTTATGACGGCGCACGACACCTATCGTAAATGAGGGTTCAACTTGTGATGCTTCCCCTGGAACTAATCGCATCACAAGTCAGGGGCCGCCTGTATGAGTCAACAGTGTGCTGCTGTTGCAATAAAGCAAACATGATTCTGGGTTGGATTAACAGGAGTGCTGTGAGCAAGACAGGAGAAGTCGCTCTGCTCTGCTCTGCCCAGCCCTCAGCTGCAGTGCTCTCTGGCTTTGTCTACACTGCAGGGATTTTGTGCAAGAAGCTTTTTACAGAAGAGATCTTCCGCAAAAACTTCTTGCGCAAGAGCGTGCCCACACCTTAAAAGCACATGCAAAAGTGATGTGCTTTTGCGTAAGAAAGCGTCCACACTGCACGGACACTCTTGCGCAAGAAAGCTCTGAAGGCCATTCACAGAACAGCCATCAAAGTCCCTGTGCTTTCTCTGATACTCTTTTTTGCGCAAGAAACCCCTGTTGAGCGTCCACACACCTTTTTGCACAAGAATTCTTGCACAAAAAGGAGTTCTTCCTCATAGAAAGAGGTAAACCTACACCGCAAAAAGCCCTCTGTTCTGCTGTTCTACTGTTCATTTTCTTGCGCAAAATCGCACTTGAGGTGGGGACGCTCTGTGGGGTTTAGGGCAAAAATGACTTTTTGTGCAAAACCCCTGTAGTGTAGACATAACCTCTGAGTGACACGTTTCAGGACAGATGTGGAGAATTTGGAGAAGGTCCAAAGAAGAGCAACAAAAACGATGAAAGGTCTAGAGAACGTGAGCTATGAGGGAAGGCTGAAAGAACTGGGCTTGTTTAGTCTGGAGAAGAGAAGACTGAGAGGGGACATGACAGTTTTCAAGAACAAAGGCGGCTGTTCCAAGGAAGAGAGAGGGGAAAAAAAGCTTTCTAGAACATAAGAACGGCCATACTGGGTCAGACCTCTGATGACAGGACAAGCAGCAGTGGGCTTAAATGGCAGGTAGAGGGGTTTAGTTTGGACATTAGGAAAAAATTCCTACCTGTTAGGGTATTCAAACACTGGGATAAATTGCTCAGGGAGGTTGTGGTTTTTCCATCAGTGGGGTGTTTAGAGCAGGTTGGACAGACAGTTGTCAGGGATACTTAGTCCTGCCTTGAGTGCAAAGGGCTGGACTCATGACCTCTTGCGCTCCCTTCCATGCCCATGATTCTATTAACTTTACATAGTGTTGCCACACGTTTTACGAGGACACTAATGATCAGCATATTATGAATTTTCACATGACGCCTCATGACTTTGTACAGAACCAAATATCGTTGTGTAGGAAGGAAGAATGGAGAAGGTCACAGGGTGCTGTAGAAGATGGTCCCATTGTTTTTCTCCTGTGTCTAAGTCCTTGCCATGGGGCTAGCAGGCAGCTGGAGGGCTGATAGCCATGTCTCTGCTCTGCAGGGTGCTGACCGGCTGTGGGAGTGAACGTGGCTGGATGACCCTTAAGCTGCTGTCCCTGCTGTACTTGGCCATGCAGCTGGGCTGCATCGCTCTCATTAACTTCTCCCTGGGCTTCCTGCTGGCTGTCACCATGGTGCCTGTTGCAGCCATCGTCCAGCCCAAAGGCCCCAAGTAAGTGACACCTGCCCACCTCCCCGTGAGGCACCATGGCCACCTGATCCGGGCCTGCCCATGAGTGGCAGGGGCTCTGTGGCCAGTCCCATCCAAGCGGGGTGTCGCTCTGCCCCGGGATGGGTCCTGGCTTGGGCACAGGCAGGATCTCTGGGAGGCTTTCACAGCCAGTTCAGGGCCGACTGGCAATCCCTTCCCCTACCAGGGACCATGCCACAGGGCTCCTTAGAGCAGTGTTTCTCAACCTTGGTTAATGAAGTACCCCTTAAAAATAAGTACCCCCCAGTATCTAGTTTTCAGACACACACGACTTTTTTCTACCTTTGCAACACATTTGTTTAAACAGCTTCATCGTAGCTGGGCGGGCGATGCCATTTTGGGTGTAAAAAGGACAAAAATAATAAAGCGCCGTGAGGCTTAAAACAAAACCTCAGTTTTCTCCAAATTTCAGTGGTGGTGACCCCCCCCCAACCTCACTG